ACGGAAACATGAGGACAAAATAAAAATAGAGCTTGAGTTGCTGTTTTGTAGATGAGGCTGTATTAATTAATTCAACCATAAATCACTAAGCTGTGTTATTGAATTGCAGGTTTATGATTTGGGACCAGATGGTCAAGGAATGACCAGGGTTACTTCTCTTTCACAAAATGCTATAGTTGCTGCTGCTGGGAGCATTGCCAGGTATATTTATGACAATTATGATGCAAGAGGCTTCCTTTAAGGCCAATAGTTTCACATTATATTTTTGGAGAACGTCGTTTGCTTATTTCTTTGGTTTGAGAGTGTATGGAGTTTTTTTGTTTTGTTTTTTAGAACAATAGATCGTTCTGTATTTAAGCCTATTGTTCAAATAGCAGTGATTGAAAATTCTGAATCCATAGACTGTCAACTACTAGCCATCACACATGCAGGTAAGAAAGCAATGCTAATTCCCCCCCTTCTAAACTGATAAATGGCATCTGCACAGTTTAGCAAAATTGTGACCTTTTTTTATCTTTTGTTCAGGTGTCCGACTGTATTTTAGTACTTCACAATTTAAGCATCCAACAGCTCGTCCCTCCATGTTAACCTTGGTGCATGTCCGTTTGCCGCCCGGATTTTCAGCTTCTTCTAACGTGGAGAAGCCTGCAAAGGTTCACAGGGCTCTTTATAGCAAAGGTAAGCAGTGGAACATGGCTCAGATGAGATTGATTTTTTTTTTTGGTTTGGTTTTTTGGGTTTTTTTTGGTGACAGCACTATCACACTGGTTTTACATTGGGGAGTTCGAAACAGTGGGAATAACTGAGAACTAAGCATGGCTTCTGTGTGTTAATGGGACAGTTTTTGGAAGTGGAAGGTTGTCATATTTTTCGGAACTTAGTTCTTCTGCAAGGTGCAGTGTTTGTGCAGAGAACTCTGCTCATGTGTTGATCAACCTTTTTTTCTTCTCATCTCCCCATAAAATAGATTTAATGTGTTCAAATTCACCTACATGTCTCTAGCCATGTGTGATTATTTCTTGAAAGCAGGGGATAGAATATGTTTCTTGCCTATTTAGTGCCTCTCGTGCTGAGCTTAGTGTGTGCTGACTGTTATTTATTAACTCGTTTAGCTAGTGATACCATATAAGATACCAAACAGCTGCCAGATGGTTCCAGCTTTATGTCACTTCTGATTGTAGGCTGAATTTTTAAAAGTGCTGAAGAAAAGTGTGTGTGGGGGTGAATGTCTCTATGTTGCTGGCCCTTTTAGTCATGAATACTGATTTTTCTACTTGGAAGTCATTTCCAGATGTCTTTTCATCTATGATTTCTTTAAACGTCTCATTTTTGAGGCATGTTCTATGTATTTTAGGCTCATTTTTGTTTGTACCTTTTAGAGTAGATGGTAAATGGTGTTAAAAGTGACCTTTTGAAGAAGCCTATGACATACAAACTCATGAGATATTATTTGCTGTTCAAATTGTATGATGAGGACTTAAAGGGGGATTGAGTGCATCCTCAGTAAGTTTGCAGATGACACCAAGTTGGGTGGAAGTGTTGATCTGCTGGAGGGCAGGAAGGCCCTACAGAGGGACCTGGACAGGCTGGATCGATGGGCTGGGGCCAACTGTGTGAGGTTCAACAAGGCTCAGTGCCGGGTCCTGCACTTGGGTCACAACAGCCCCATGCAACGCTACAGGCTGGGGGAGGAGTGGCTGGAGAGCTGTCTGGCGGAAAAGGACCTGGGGGTGTTGGCTGACAGCTGCCTGAACATGAGCCAGCAGTGTGCTCAGGTGGCCAAGAGGGCCAATGGCATCCTGGCTTGTATCAGGAATAGTGTGGCCAGCAGGACCAGGGAGGTGATAGTGCCCCTGTACTCGGCACTGGTGAGACTGCATCTCGCATACTGTGTTCAGTTTTGGGCCCCTCACTACAAGAAGGACAT